CAGGGTTTCTGTATATATAATAGACATCTCTCTATTTTACCAGACCTGGATACTTTCAGTGCTGTATAATTGTTTGTTATAGACAGGGTTTCTGTATATATAAAAGACATCTCTATATTAAATATGTTGTGTTTCTCCGACTTTCGTGACTGATATCTAGCTAGTTTCACTGTATATTAAGAACACATGTCAATAATGGATACTGACTGGCAACTAGATAGGTTTTACTGTAAGACACATCCATAATGGACAATTTGTGAGTGCTTATTAAAAATAAACTTCTTTCCTATAAATGGCTACTATATGTAGGTAAGGTTTATTGAAAAACACCTTTCTATTCTGGACACTCAACTAGGTCCCATGAGTGACCATTATGTAGAGGTCTAAACACCTGTCTATTGCAGACACTTTGCTGGTCTTATGAGAGGCCTTTATGTACATGCCTAATGGCAGTAGGGCATTATAATATTTAAAACACAGAAATGGTAACATAAAGAGGATTAAAATGTTCTCCTGGAATTGATCAGAGGTATTAGTAGTGGGAATCCAAATGTATGTCCATCACTTCCTGGCGCCTATAAACTTTACCATACAAGCTCCCCACAGTTTATCAGCTCAGTAAGAACTGTCGAGATCACAGTGTTTGTGTATCAGGAGTAGAGGACATTTTATTTTTACTCTAAGTTACTGAATTATTTAGTGGTGTTTGAAATCATCGATTTTGTTAGCGGCGAGGAGCTGTTCGTGTACGAGAAGCTGTCCTGTGTACCCTGCTCATTACTGGCCATATTAAAGGTGGCTGAGCTTGTGTTGATCTACACAAACTTCCTCAGACACCAATCACAGACCTGCTCCTTAGCTATATCTATACCACAACACAGATTTGGTTGCTGAAAAAAAATACTGGTAGTGCTGTGGGTTCCGCCTGTGTTTTATGAATTGTCTCTGTGGAATCTACACAGATCCCAACTTCTCTTCAGCACATCAAAGGGAGCTGGAAAACACACAGCAGCTATTCCCCCAGGCAACACTATATTGCATTGCTGTTTTTAATAGATTTATAGGCTGTAGAAATCAGAACCATTACTTTTTCTTCATGGTAACAAATTTCTACACAGTAACGCATTTCTACACAGTAACGTATTTCTACACAGTAACACATTTCTACACAGTAACACATCTCTACACAGTAATACATTTCTACACAGTAACACATTTCTACACAGTAACACATTTCCACACAGTAACGCATTTCTACATAGTAACACATTTCTACACAGTAACACATTTCTACACAGTAACACATTTCTACACAGTAACACATTTCTACACAGTAACACATTTCTACACAGTAACACATTTCTACACAGTAACACATTTCTACACAGTAACACATTTCTACACAGTAACACATTTCTACACAGTAACACATTTCTACACAGTAACACATTTCTACACAGTAACACATTTCTACACAGTAACACATTTCTACACAGTAACACATTTCTACACAGTAACACATTTCTACACAGTAACACATTTCTACACAGTAACACATTTCTACATAGTTACACATTTCTACACAGTAACACATTTCTACATAGTAACACATTTCTACACAGTAACACATTTCTACACAGTAATACATTTCTACACAGTAACACATTTCTACACAGTAACACATTTCTACACAGTAACACATTTCTACACAGTAACACATTTCTACACAGTAACACATTTCTACACAGTAACACATTTCTACACAGTAACACATTTCTACACAGTAACACATTTCTACACAGTAACACATTTCTACACAGTAACACATTTCTACACAGTAACACATTTCTACATAGTAACACATTTCTACACAGTTACACATTTCTACACAGTAACACATTTCTACATAGTAACACATTTCTACACAGTAAAACATTTCTACACAGTAACACATTTCTACACAGTAACACATTTCTACACAGTAACACATTTCTACACAGAAACACATTTCTACACAGTAACACTTTTCTACACAGAAACTTATTTCTGCATCGTAACACATTTCTACACAGTAACACATTTCTACACAGTAACTCATTTTTACATAGTAACACATTTCTACACAGCAACACATTTCTACATAGTAACACATTTCTACATAGTAACACATTTCTACACAGAAACACATTTCTACACAGAAACACATTTCTACACAGAAACACATTTCTACATAGTAACACTTTTCTACACTGAAACTTATTTCTGCAACGTAACACATTTCTACACAGTAACACATTTCTACACAGTAACACATTTCTACACAATAATACATTTCTACATAGTAACACATTTCTACATAGTAACACATTTCTACACAGAAACACATTTCTACTCAGAAACACATTTCTACACAGAAACACATTTCTACATAGTAACACTTTTCTACACTGAAACTTATTTCTGCAACGTAACACATTTCTACACAGTAACACATTTCTACACAATAATACATTTCTACACAGTAACACATTTCTACATAGTAATGCATTTCTACATAGTAACACATTTCTACATAGTAACACATTTCTACACAGAAACACATTTCTACTCAGAAACACATTTCTACACAGAAACACATTTCTACATAGTAACACATTTCTACATAGTAACACATTTCTACACAGTAACACATTTCTACACAATAACACATTTCTACACAGTAATACATTTCAACATAGTAACACATTTCTACATAGTAACACATTTCTACATAGTAACACATTTCTACATAGTAACACATTTCTACACCGTGACTTATTTCTGCATAGTAACATATTTGAACATTGTAATACATTTTGATATCAAGTAACAAATAGATATTTCACTGGCAAAGATAATGTTAGACCAGGACTTATAACTCCAAAACTGAGATTTGACTCTTGGATTTGAAAGGACATGTCTAGTTGACTTGTGTTTTGACTCTCTGAGTTTTAGGGACAATATTATTTGACTTCTTAAACTGTTGACTGTCAAGGGTCCACTACCATTTTCTGGTTGAAACTTTTCCCTGAAATATTAAGAACAGGGTTATGCTTTCTCATATCATGTAAACAATTTACATACTGAGATAGACGTTTAATGTAAGGTTGATTACCAAGTTATTTTTGACCTGGTAATGGATAAAGGAAATGAAGTTTAAGATCATCTGTTTACCCTGGTTCTTAGAAACAAGAGCAGGAAGTTGTAGGATGTAATTGTACACAGCTGTAGTGTATTGGTCACGTATCACCAATCACTTCTCAGTTCTAGTTACAAGTTAAATAGCCAATGTTCTGATGGTCAGTCTGCAGTCAGGTGGACCTCGTCAGAGTTTCTTTCCTTTGGGTGTTTTTAATGAGGTCAGTATTGGTTACAACATGGGATAATGTTTATAACCACAGGAAACCACTTAAACCATCTGTAAGACCAGAGAAAAGACTTGTATCAAAGAAGTTTTAAAATAAAATAATTCAGGATTGAGATATCTCCTATTAACTTTACCGGTAATCCTATATGGTACACTTTGACCTTTATATACAGGTGCTATCAGTTTGATTACAATTGTCATCTCCAATGTCTATTACTGTAATTGTTTGAGTTGCTTTATGTATCTACCGTCGCTGTACCCAAAACGGGACACTTATGGGGAAAATGGCCCAAGAAAATGTCATTCCATGCAAAGAAGTACTAATATGTATACAGTTTTCATTTCATAAAATTTTTATGACAATTTAACTGTATTTAAGTTTTATTGCCTGCTGATTATCGTTACATGGGCAACTTAAAGGTAAGAATAATGACCAAAACAAAAACGTTCCCGATTTACGTGCTGTGTGACGCTATTTATTTCGATTTCATTTTCAAAAGTCTATTTGATCAAAACTAATGGTAATTTGGAGAAACAAATTAACCATAACCCTGTTTGACTCAAAAATATTTGAAATATGTCTTCTTTTCTGCTGATATTGATCATTTATCCCCAAATATTAGCCAAAATACCGAAATGTCCCTTTCAAGGTACAGTTACGCCGGTTCAAGAGCCTACAAAACCCTGGTAGTATTTCGCGTTTTATTTATAGAACGATGCGTCCAAAATATCTACTTGTAATAGAAATGAAAAGTGGATAGTATCTATTTATGAAAAATGAACAAACTTTTTTCAATTTTTTGGAACTGATATTGTGGTATAAAGAACAATGGTATTTATCTAAAAAGTGTCCCGATTTAGGTACAGTAACGTTATGTGTTCCACTTACCATGTCAACGAACAAAAAATTGCAAAAGGAACCAAGAACCTAGATTGTACAGAGGACATTTTACTAGTGTAAGCCGTTTAAGGAATTTCCCTTGGTTTCCAACCTGCTTTTATGGTTTTGCAGAAAATAGCTACAATGAACTAGGTTTGCACTCTGTCTGTCTGTTGGTTGGCCTGTGTGTTATAATTACAGTGACATATTTCATATACAATGTAACCTAATCTTTTCAAAAATTTGTATGCTAGTACCACTTCAAAAGGCTGAGTGTGATACTGAAATTGAGTCTCAATATATATTCAGAGTTATGGCCCTTTGTTCATTTTTCCACAGGTTTGCCTGTAGACTAAGGATACTTGTTGAAACAACATAAAACAAATCATCTCCCTTAAGTGATGGTGGAAATCTTTTCTTTCATCCAATATTGGTTTTTGTTCAAAGAAGCAATTATAGATAGTTTTTTGACATAACTCTTATATGCAGATGTAATAGCAAAGATTAAAGTCAAGGTTACACTGACTAAGGTGAAGGTTATACAGAGTAAGGTCAAAGTAAAGCCCAGTACCAGTTAATGTATAATAAGTTATGCATGGCGAGTTATGGTGGAGCAGGTTTCATTGATTCGGTGTAGTTAGAACCATGACCTTGAAAAAAAATGTTTTTACATAATGAAAATGTATTTTGACATCAATTTCTAAATTTCCACAGATAAGATGGGGACATTAGAGGAACAAACAGACAGTAAGCTGAGAGCCATCATTATGAAATCCAAAGATCTGCAAGTAGTTATGGAGGCACTCGGCAGTAACGACATTGGAAGTGATCATACCATCGACCTTGACTCTCCTGCCCGATCAGTGGAAGATCTGTCCGACACTCCATCTGACAGGGATATGGAACTTCAAGATGGCTCCCACGGTTATGGTAGGTTACCAACTTTTATATAAAAAAATAATTCAGTATAATTAACCAAAGGTTTTTCATTTGGTTGTTTTCTTCTACTATTGAAATGCAATAAAAGATCTGAACTTTGCTAAAGATAAAAATTGATGTCATTGGAATCCTCAGCATCTGCTATCAACCAAATTTCATTTGTTTCATTTGAATGCTTCATCAACAATCACATATCGTAAATTAACTTCCAAACAGCATCAAATTGTGTTGTAAAAACTGTTAATCAATCTGTGATGCACAAGTGTTTGAGCGTCGAGATGCACTCTATCTCTCACCGTTGTACCATGTCTCATTGATCCATCTGTCATTTCATTGGAAATTTAAATTGAAGCACAGAAGAAATTGTCATCCTTCTAAATTGCTTCTGATGCATTTCTAGATTGTCTAGAACTTTGTAGTGGTTGGTTTTAAGTATTCTACAATTCAATTTGTTGTGTCCTTTTGATTCCCCTGAAAATGTGTTTCATCCATATATTCTAAGTACATTAACTTTAGTAAACTGACATGTCATGTTTGTTAGATGTTGCTTCAGTCACAGTGTACTTTAATGTACCTATTGTTAATAATCTTCCATTTCTACTCCAGTCAACATTAACAACTAAGTGTAACCTGTGTTATTTACAACACAAAATGGAATAAGCTAATGTAAGCATACAACAGTGGAAATAATGCCAAATCAGTAACAGAAAATAGCATCACAATTACAAATTTAGGATATCATCAATAGGGGTTTTCAGTAACATGAGGGTTTTTAGATTCTCTTCCAGAGATTTTCAGTTCATTTCAGTACTTATCATTACTTTGTGTTACTTAGAATGTGTTTACTGGAAAATTAATAGTTGAATATTGCCAGTGTAAAAGCTCATGGAAGTGATTTGAGGGAAATGAGTTCAGTGTTGAGACAAGCTTGAACCCCTTTTTGTCTTTGTGGTTAAGTATTGATTGGAAGACACAAGCAATATAGCAGGAAAAATATCATGAAAAAGGTTTTTCTCTAAAACATGTGTTGTTTAGATGATAGTCAAGCAGGTCAATGAGGTGGTCTTCTTCAACTGCTTTGGTATGATCCCTCTTTATCTACTGGGGTCAGCTTCTCTGGTGTACATGTACTAGGAAATATCTTTAAAAAACCAAATGTCTTCCAAAAATTTGTTATTATTGCAAAACACTTTGACACATCATCTAGTGGCATTTTAAGTGGACTCCATGCTGATTCAGTTGAAGAGTGACCATTGCTATTTTGATCTTATTGAAATGATTAGAAGATCTAATACAGCCTTTGGGATGAGTGATTTTGTGTCTCTTCCTAGAATTTTTTCTCGACATCTTCTAATTTCCAAAACTGTTTTGATAAAATCTTCTGACACAACACCAATTCATCATGTACTTGTGCACTTTTTTACGAATTTTAATTTCCTCCTGGTTTTAAGAGTGTCAGTAACTGCCCCCTTGTTTTCAAAACTTGTCACAAGAATAAGCCTTAAGCCGCTAGAATGTCTTCAATAAAAATAAGTAACATGAACTGTATATATATGGTTCAATAAAAATAAGTAACATGAACAGAATCTGTATGGTTCAATAAAAATAAGTAACATGAACAGAATCTGCATGGTTCAATAAAATTAAGTAACATGAACAGTATTTATATGGTTCAATAAAAATAAGTAACATGAACAGCATATGCATGGTTCAATAAAATTAAGTAACATGAACAGTATTTATATGGTTCAATAAAAATAAGTAACATGAACAGAAACTGTATAGTTCGTGCACCCGATTCAAATGTTACTTTTCACCTTCTTTGATAAAACATGTCTCTTTCTTTAAAAAATAAATAGTTATATGTAACTATTTTGACAACTTCTCCTAACTTACAAGTGTGACTTAAATGGTAGTCATTATTAGATGCAAATGTGTACCAACGTTTAGAATGTGATAAGTTAGCCTCTTTTTCATTTGCAGACTTATGTCCCTTTATTAAAAAAAAAATATGTCCTGACTCCTGAATTTTTGTGTTTTGATTGGTTGATATTATCCTGACTTTTGATATGATAATATGTTCATTTCTGATTAGATTTTACGTTAGATATTCCCCTCATGTGTTGACAAACATAACTAGAAATTATGTGTTAATGACCTTCTGGTTTATACCCTCCTCACAACCTTGTTTTATTGAAGGTTCCATAGGTTTGCTGTACTCTAGTAGAACTGGTTACAATGTAGGTGTTTTTCTGCTTACCTTCCACATTGTCTGGGTATTATCACCTAATTACTCACAATATAGACACACCTGATGAGGTGTCAGAACTATACTGCCAGGCTGTTTGTGCTCCGGAATATCTTGTCAGAGGTCACTAGAATAACAGGGGTCAAAAGGATGATAGTACTGTAGTAATTAGTGTAGCAGGGTGGCAGTGGACTGGTAATGACAGCACTGCATCATCATCTGACATCATCACAGCTCCAGCTGTCTGTCAACAAGTTAGTTCTGGGAATTGTTGTATCAGAAATATTTACTAAACAAACAATACATATTTTCATAGAATTCAGTTGATGAAGCAAGCACAAGTTTGATTTCTCTCGTTTATGGTTAGCTTAACTTCTGGGAAGTGAAAGGAATAGTCAGCTGATAGCATTTTAGTATCCTTAAAGTGTGTAACCTCGGTAGTTACTGTTTGTCCACTAAACCATATTTATGTTTGAGTTGGAATAGCGTTCTACATTATCTTCCTTAGGGAAATTTGTAGTAGTACAAGGCTGTTTTTTAGCCCCTACATGAGGCCCCAACGACTGACAGTAATTACTCTCTGTAACTGATTCACCAGGGCATCACAAGAAATATAGATGTGGCAGGGGTGTAAATTATAATCGACATAATCCATTGGGGCCCCATACGGGGGCTCAATAAACAGCACCCATAGGTATAACCTAGTGGCGTGCAACAAGAACATACATATTTCAGGTGAATGTTTGCGCTGCTGATGTATGTGATAGGTTACGGTATAAAACACTTGGAAGCAGGTTATCGTTTGGTTTAATCTTTCCACATGTTGATTGAGTCAGAAATAGAATTAATTTATAAGTTCTGTTGAAATGAATTTCCAAGGTAACCCTTTTTATTCTTCCCTGAATATAACATATCTATTACCTCCAATGAATTAGTGCATGCATGTTGGGATAGAGGCCAAGAGGTGTTTCTGTAAGGCTGTGGAGATGCAAACTGAAGGGTTGATGGCCTAGTTTCATTGGACAAGGTCTGGATAAATGCTACAGACACAGTGTACTTCATGTCTTGTAGGGCTGCTGGATTGTATAGGCCATGTTATAGAATAACTGTATTATTATCTAGTATCCAATTTTTTTAAATGCTTCAGTAGATCTATATGTATGCTATAGATGTAAAAAAAGAAGTCAAAATTAAAGAAGATTTGAGTGTTAGGCATATCTGTTGGCTGGTTGTAATGTCTCTGACAGGTAGACATGTCTGTTGGCTGGTTGTAATGTCTCTGACAGGTAGACATGTCTGTTGACTGTAATGTTTCTGACAGGTAGACATGTCTGCTGGCTATAATGTGCCTGACAGATAGACATGTCTGTTGGCTGGCTGTGACTCACAGATAGACATGTCTGTTGGCTGACTGTGACTCACAGGTAGACATGTATATTGGCTGTAATGTGTCTGACAGATAGACATGTCTGTTTGCTGGCTGTAATGTGTCTGACAGGTAGACATGTCTGTTGGCTGTAATGTGTCTCACAGGAAGACATGTCTGTTGGCTGGCTGTAATGGGTCTGACAGGTAGACATGTCTGTTGGCTGGGTGTGACTCACAGGTAGACATGTCTGTTGGCTGTAATGTGTCTCACAGGTAGACATGTCTGTTGGCGGTCATGTATCTGACAGGTAGACATGTATATTGGCTGTAATGTGTCTTACAGATAGACATGTCTGTTTGCTGGCTGTAATATGTCTGACAGGTAGACATGTCTGGTGGCGGTAATGTCTCTGACAGGTAGACATGTATATTGGCTGTAATGTGTCTGACAGGTAGACATGTCTGTTTGCTGGCTATAATGTGTCTGACTGGTAGACATGTCTGTTTGCTGTAATGTGTCTCACAGGAAGACATGTCTGTTGGCTGGCTGTAATGTGTCTGACAGGTAGACATGTCTGTCGGCTGGCTGTAATGTCTCTGAGATGTCTGTCAGTTTGTTGTGTTTCTGTTATCGCGATCAGACAGGTGAGCAGCTGCAGGTGTAAGGTATAAACCTCACTACCAGTCTCAAATACAATAATGTAATTCTCTATATACCTTGTATGAGACAGGCTCCAGGATTCTCATTAACCTGGCCTTGACCTGGAGAATCTGTACTGAGAATTATTGCTCATTGTCTCAGCTAACTCCTACTAACATAAGGTTATCATGTTGTCATGAATTCAATGATATTGGTTAGATATTTCAGAAGTATCAACCTCTAATTTAGTTTTAGAGAGCATCTTGTCGTCCATTCGGTCCAATGCTATGTAGTAACTATGGTAAATAGCTAGCATGGTAACTAGCTTTTGAGTGGTGCCATAAAGCTGTACTTTCCCATATTTTTCATCATGTTTCAAAATCAGCAACAACATAACAATGCCTGTTTATTTTAAATCGAATCAGAAATGTATTGCATGTGTAAAAGGAAAGCTGTGTACTTCCACTGGGGGATTGAACCCCCAAACTTCAAGCTTCCCAGCTGCTGCTCTACCCATCAAGCTTTAGGGAAATTCCATCTAGCGCAAAAATAGCAGGCAATCATAAATAGATCAGAGTACTGCTCCCTAACCTGATACTCCAGCAGATCAGAGTATTGTTCCCAGCCTAATACTCCAGCAGGCCAGAGTACTGTTCCCAGCCTAATACTCCAGCAGGCCAGAGTACTGTTCCCAGCCTAATACTCCAGCAGGCCAGAGTACTGTTCCCCAGCCTA